ACCCCAACTTCCCTAACTGGTTCTAGAAGGCTATGTGTGCCCTCAGCTCCTGAGCGGCTGCCTTCTGGTGTCGACCTGTGGCCAGTACACTTGGCTGTGGTGAGATAGGCGTTCTGGAATCGTCCTCCAAACTGCTCTGCTGGCCTCGCAAACTGAGGAGGCAGCTCATTCCTGAGCCCAAAACTTTAGGACGTGTTCGGCCCATGTGAGCCCAGTTCCTTTTGGCCTGTGCAGTGTGGAAACCAAAGTTGACGTCATTTTTATTTATGCGTTTGAGTAGCCATCCATCTACCCACTCTTCCTCGTGCGTTTCCTCCAAGGGCCTTCTTCATAAACCTCAAATTCTTTTCGATGTTCTCTCTTTCCCTGTCTCTGTAGCTTGCCTTTTTCTCTGTGCAGCTGAAAATCACAGGGTTTTTGTGGGGGAAGATCTCACTCTATTTCAGGTCTGTGGGAGCCTTAAAACAATTTCTGGAAGCGTTCCCCCTGCTGTGCTGTGAATGTGCTGGGCTCGTTATGATTTCCAGGTGTTTGTGATGCTCTTTCTGACGCCGAGAAAGCTCTTCCCTCTTCTCTCTGCCTTAGCAGACTTACCGAGTCTCCTGGGCCCAGTGCAGGGCCTACCCCCCCCCCCCCCCCCCACTATTTATAGGGCAGCCTAGTGCCAGTCTTTCTTGTCCCCAGTTGTGTCTCTGACCTTCTAAACAGGAGGTGGGATCCTTTGGGGACGCTGGCCCTGCCCTCAACAGGCCCTGCAGGACCAAATACAGGGCCGGGCACTTTCGTTTTTGCTGCGCTAAATATTTGCTTAGTTGAAAATGAACCAAACTGGGGCCCTTCCGGCTGGATGCAAGGGGTAAAATACAGTATTCTGACCATCCTTGGGGCCAGACATTCGAAGAGCCCCTGGAGGAAGCTGTGGGCTGAGTATCTCTCAAGAACCAAACAGCCGGCTGCTTGGATGATTGCTATTTAACAGCTGCAAGATAAGGTTGCTGAAGATCCTTCTAGTCCCGGGACCAGGCCAGCCTTAGCCAGGGTTATATTCATGTGTGTTGTGTGCTGCTGTGAACCGGCCTCGTGCTGTCTGCCTTCTGAAACCGCGGGATCGGATACCCTGAGACCTGTGCCCAGGGCGGTCACCATGTGCGCGTGTGTCTCTGGAGCCCGGGGTGCCTTGGGGCACACTGTGGCGCCCGCTAGCCAATTCTGAGATTATAGGCCTGTCCCTTCCCGGCCAATTCTGAGATTATAGGCCTGTCCCTTCCCAGCCAATTCTGAGATTATAGGCCTGTCCCTTCCCAGCCCAGGCATGGGTGCCCTGAGGGGGCCTGGCACCTTCCCGAGCCAGCAGTGGCTGGACGGCAACCCGCGCGGGCAGCTCGGCCTTCCTCCCTTGCGTGGTTCAGGTGCGCAGCCAGGAGACCAGAACCACTGAGAGCCCGGGGACAACGTTCGCTTTATTCTTGCCTCCACATCTGTTCTTTGTTTCCGGGTTGGCGAGGCCGAGAGAAAGAAGAGAGTCCCAAGATAAGTCTTCCTTTGGGGAAGGGCTCCTTGGTCGTGTTGGAGGGTTTTTTTCCCTCTCTCCTTTTTTTCCTTTCTTTTTTTTTTTTT